ATTAATAAGTTATAGGAGGTTAATATAAATTAAGTTATTTATCCATTTTGGACCACATAGATTGATTTCAATGTTTCTTCTTTCTTCTTTCAATTGAATTGGTAAAAAATATTAATAACACTTTGTAATGTTCCAACTTCTGTAAGTTTCCCATCTTCGCTGTTCTAAGAAAAAAAAATCTACAAAAATTCGTTCTCTTTAGACGTCTTACGACATTTGTGCAAATAAAATGAGAGCACATTCAAAAGTGCAATTTGTTTTCGGTTTTTTTTTCTGCCCTCGTTTCTTTCAGGTTATTACTCTCTGCACCGGAGAATCGCATAGACAAATTATTACCCCGATAAATCTCGATTCCTGCTGGTTCCACATAATTTTATTTCATGTTTTAGGTTAGGAAAACATACAGCACTTTATAAAATCACTTTTATGTGAGCCAATAAAATTTTAACCACTAGCTAGTTACTAATAATATTATAGTATTAATTTGTAACCCAGGAACGGTATGGATGAAAAACAAAAGAAATTCTAAACAAAGACCTTTTTTTACCAAATTTAAATATGCACAAACACAAAATAAAGGCGACCGTAGCTGCGTAATTAGCGTAATTACATTTATAAATGTCCAATTTTGTAGATTGTTTAAGGTGAAAACATCATGCTACGAGTTTCTAATAAAATTTAGCGTTACGCATGTTATTATTTTAATTAAAAGTTAAAAATTAAGAACATACTATTTTAATATTTTAATTTGGATTAATAATTATTCAGTCAATCCTTATTTACACAAATTATTAATGTTCTGCTTGTGTTAATAAGATATTAGAAAGTTTCACATAATGAATCTTTAGTATAGGATTTCTATTTAAATGTGGATTTGAACTGAAATCTCGAGTTCCAATTAAAAGCTGGTTTAACTAATTGGTTTTGTAATGTTTGATGGGCATTAAAAAGAAAGTTGAGTGCTTTTAAAAGAGGCTTACATCGTCGATTCATTTAATCATTGAATCTCGAGATGATATGGACTGCCTTTTTGCCGAAATCAAAAAGTGACTAGAGGTACACAACATCCCACCTGATCGTAACCAGTAATAGATTCATTAAAAGCCAATTCATTATTGCCTTGAAGACAACGTAACATTCTGATGGGAAAACTGCAGCCGAGTATTTGTTTAACTTTTGTGTACAGCACTTAAAGAGGACGCCTTAGTTCGAACGCGACGAATATCCAAAAGAAAAGGATGGAGACGGACGTGAAATGGAATATATTTCTTGTGTATGTGTATATATAACAAATATAAATCCCTATAATGTTAACGAAGTTCAAGATAATATGATAAGTGTGTTAAATTAGAGGCCCTTGTCATGGCTCATGTTATGTCCTGAGACTTTATACGCTTAAACTGGGATAACTGCTATCGTTTCTAAGTCAGGAATTAAACAAGTGTATAATAAACACAAGCATATTGAACATAATATGTATACCGATTTTTATAAATATCATTTGTATCAACGATTTTTTAATCCCAAAGTTAATGTCAAGCTCCACTATATGAAATCTTGTTAGAATCCGTAAATTAGCCTTCTTAGAGAAATCACTTTTGTGTTTTTTTTTTGTTTTAAATCACGAACATATTTTTAGTTCAATTTATCTCACCGCATCCGTCTTTCATCAAAAACGTTCACGTCTTCGGCGATCGATAACATCAAATATTTAGTAAATGCTTTGGAATTTTCTAGAAGTATCTGCGATACCAGCGTGGGAATTGTACGCTCTATACTATTGAATCAGCTGAAAGTTCGATCTGGGAGGACGCAACCTTTAAGCGAAAGGGATACGATGAATTGGTTTAAATCAACATTTATTACCGTTACTAACGCAGGTACTGAGTTACACCATTCTTCGCCGCAGGAGTGGCGTATCTTTCAGAATTTGTATATGTTACACGCCTCATAGTGAAACACGATTCAATGACGGTTTTTCGACTTTTTATACAGCTTACGTTAAGTTACGTAAAACGGCTTATTACATATTCGCGTCGGACTGTTCCCGTAAATCCAGTTGAGCGGGGATAGTTAATTTAACTGAACTAGCTTCGTTTAGCAAACGTCGACATTCCTTCCAACTTTCCAATGCGAGGGCCTTTTTCCTTCGGCAGTCTTTCCGTATCTCGTTGCATCGTTATTTACGTAACAAAGTCGGAATGTACAAACCTTCCTGTTTGCCACAGGTGGAGATTTATAAGTACCGAAATAAAGTGAGCAAATGCTACTTATGCTATACGTTGTTATGGTCCATTATTCCGAACTTGCCCATGCACTGTTTCTCTTTTTATTGTATTATTTATATACCGTTTTCAAAATGGTCTACTGCTGGTATTATATATGTTAATTGATAATTAATATAGTGAATTGTAAAAGAAAGTTTGTGTGTAAAAGGCTATTATAATATTTATGATTACTTCAATTATGACAAAACTTAATATGTTAATTTAAATAAGTTCTTACTTTAGAATAAAGGTGTACAAATCGAGAATCTTCGATTCTTACGCTATACAATCAATAACGGCTCTAGTAAACCCGTGTCAACGCAGGCAGGCCGTTCTAAATCTAGATTTGTACCTAAAGTGCTAAAGGTTTCACCTTGATCCAGATGCAGCCAGGCAATGGTCAGTTAGAGCGGCCGCTGTGAAACTGAAAGTGTTTTAGACACGGCATCGGTTGTGCAACCGACGGACGATACAACTTCAGTGTACATAGCGAAAATTGTATATCACCGCAAAGATCTATAGGTCAGACAGTCCCGAAGCCGAGTGTATGCAAATTTATTAGCATTACATAAATTTGTGATAACGGTCGCTCTATTGTTCTTACCCAACGCGTGCATTAGCACATAATACGGATGTAGTTGCACTCACCTGTTCTCTGGCTGAACGACTTGTGGGTAAAGCCCTCGTTCAAGCGGAATTTCATAAGCAAAATCAAAAAATCAAAATCATTTATTCATCGACATAAGAAACATACATTTCATCTATCGATATGTTAATATATTAATAGGGCTGACGCATTCCACCGCTCTACAAAGGAGCTGTGTCAGCATATTCATAGTCGCTAGGCGCATCAGATAGAAGCTTCTTCGAGAACAGTCGTATGACAGTCGTTACCACAGAGTACTGTGTATATACGAAAATAGTCGTTACTCAGTTTCAATCCGGTCTCCATCCTTTTAATACATTTTATAATTCTATTTTATAATTCCATTTTATAATAAGCCAGTGTTAATAATAAAGTTCCCTTTTAAAAAAAAAAAAGACTCATATAACAGATCCGGATCCCGTATAACAGATAGTCACTTTTATTAATCTACCACCGTTTCGTAATGAGGTTCCTCTAACGGAGAAGAACCAGGCGAAAGAAACTCCGCAGTTAATTGTTTAAATGTTTAATTGTATTATAAAACTAGACTGTATTCAATTTACTTAAATAAAACGCAACTTTAATCTAACTAAACTAAAGTGTGAATTTTCCGCAGTTCTTGCCAATATCCTTTCATCTAAACGTGCAAAAAAGCATCAACATGTCCTTCTATACTCTATAACTGGCTTGTGAACGCTACTTGGAAAATTTATATGAAACTATAAATAAATCACGCGTAATATGCGACATAGAGGAAAAACTATGTGGGTTAATTCATTGCACCCGATACCGTGTCTGTTCGTGGATTATTTTAAACGTTGAGTATTGTATAATGAGATATAAATAAAATATTGCTGTAACCTAAGAAATACGTCGAAACATTTAATCAGTACAACGTATCGATTAATTCTAACAAACATTTATACAGTATATTGTTCGTACAATTGTCATAAAAATATACTGTTGTAAGTCCATACATATGTCCCACTGCTGGGCAAAAGCCCCCTCTGCACAGACAGTATCTGGGCATTGTCTACTACGCGACCCCACTGCGGATTGGCAGAATTTTTATTATTATATTATTTATGGTTACAGGTTTCATTGCTTTGTTTTCTATCACCGCTGACCACGTGGTAAATCAGCACTTAAAACAATTTCTAATTGTTCAAGTATACAAGTGGCAGCCCCCGGACATTTACGTATAATGCTCTTGTTTCATAAAAAATATCAATTCGACAATTACATTAGTATTTTCTGGATATATCTACGTGCGACGTCACACATTAAGTCGTGATGCAAGTCGTTCTTCGATGTATCGAATCCTATAAAAGTAACATTAACGTTTCAGTAACATCATCGGTTGTGTAGCTTGCGCGAAATTTCACAATTGGAGATCGTTTATCGTACCGTACGTTTTCATAAGACATAGTCTTTTAGTTTTTTTCTCAAACAAATTTTATTATTTTTAATCGACTCGCGGTGGTGCAGTTACTAAAACATTGTCTTCTGTACCGGGGTTCGATTTCCACGGAATACCATGGGACAAGTATTTGTGAGAGTCCCAAACAAGATCACAATAATATAATTCTTTAAGACTTTAACATATCTAAAGCGCAGCTGATCATAGTAGCACTAACGGAAGACGTCAATGGCTTTAATGACCCTTAAATATTATTAAATATTTCAAGTATTTTTTTTTAAATATTGCCCTCACTATAGGGCACCATTATCCTATGTTCAAAGGAAGTTTTACATACATAAACTTCACGTGGACAAGCGCCCAGATCCGAAACAATTATCTATCACACAAATTCCCGTCTGGGAATCGAACCCACCCAACCCCGGAGCCGAAGCCAATACCTTGGCAACTGCACCACTGAGTCATGTTAAAATAGTATTAATATTAAATTCATTAATTGGTGAAAATTGTTCATCGACGAAAAAAGACACCTTCGAGAAATAATCTAAAGAGATTAAGGTCCGGTTGCTGAAACACTGATCATCGTAGAAATTAACTAATCAGCTGTCAAATGTCATATGAGTTGCCAAAAGGATGGTTAAACTTTTTAGATTGATCATTCTGATCATTCTGTTAGTGTTACCGTACCTCCTTGGCCGTTCATTACAGCTTTCGTTCTCAGATGGGACCCTAAGCGGCGGATCAGCCCCACGGAGGCGACGCGCCACGAGTTCGTGACGGGGTGCCCTTTGGGGTCCACTTCTGCGGGGGTGCTGGCGCTGCCACGCCTCGCGCCGCCCAGGCCGGCCCGCGCCGCGCTCCTGCACTCCCAGTCCGCCGGCGACGTGGCCGCTATGCTGGGCAGGGCGTGACCCTCCGCCAGAACAGCGCCCGCCGGCTCCACGGGCGCGATATAACTCTCGACTCCACTGGTCCAACTATTTAGGCTGTACATTCGACTAGTTCACCCTTCATCTACCTTATATTCTCTGTATCTGCAGTGATATACGTTTATATAGCTTCACTGTTACTGCCCGATCTTAGAGGTGATACAAAATTATCTACGCTGTCATCGTAGGCCATACGTTTTGGGACCCATTTTGTGTTTTAGTGTCATCCTTCCGGAATTTCGGCATTTACGTCGTAAGTCCGGCAACAAATGATAAATAATTGCCTTGGATTTTCAATAATTTTAATCATTAAATCAGTTCGGAATGTAGCCTAACTAGGACCTTTCAAGTCAATAATCAGAAAGATTTATTTACATTGTTAGCCATTTGCATGGCGGCTGTGCTGCCGCTATTTTGCAAATGAATAATGTTTGTCTAACACTTTCTGACAAGTTTGACAAACAACATCTTTATTAAACTACCTCGCTAATTTGCGCTGCTCTAGCCAACTACGGCAAATATTTTCACGAAAAGCTATTTGTCACTCATGTCATATTTGGCACGTTTGACAAACCTAGTTTCTTTGTCAAACGTCAAACTTTAAATCATTTGACAAACACGTAATATTGGTCAAATGATTTGAACGTATACAGGCCTATTTAATCCATGCCGATGCTAAGCCCTTCGTTCACTTCAAATCGCATGGATTGTATTTCTAGACTGAAGATATCATTGAACGAAAATTTATGTTCTCTAGTAACGATATTAAATACAGACGTACCAATTATAAAAAAAAGTATTGAAGTCATTTCGAAATGGAAGGCGGAACGAGAAATCTCTGTCCGTTCCTTGCGAGCGTGATATATCTATAGACTCATCTAGATGATCGCTCGATTATGCTTGACCATTCGAGAATGTCTGTTACGCGCTACTTACCGAGATGCATTCATACTATTGCAAGCAGAATTATGCAACGGCAGCTTTACGGATCGGTCTTTTGAAATTTCCAATCTCCTAACCGACCCAATTTCGGGATCAGGTTTTGATCTCTTTGGACGTTGGCGAGTCGTGTGCGATAATTTCTGAGGATTTAACTGTCCGCTAGTTAGATAATGTTAAACCTTACCTAAACTAACCTAACTTCAGTATTCTGAGACGCGTATTGTGCCAAATCGAGACTGAACTTAAAACTTTAACGGCACGAGAGATTAATTAGACGTAGAGGATTCTTTTTTTACACTAACAACGAATGTTAGTCGTGTAGTAATCGTAAAAAGCGAAATACACACTGATGGATATCAAATGTTTAATATTGCTGAAATATAGTAATATTTATAAACGATGAAAGAAAGAGACAAGCATATCGAATTTCTTCGTTTGAAAAAATCAAATTTTAAACCATTTTAGGATATGTAATCGGCTCCTATTTCGATTGATATTTTTAATAATCGAAAGAGAATCTATTTAAAAAAAATACGATTAATATAAAATAGTATTACAATTATATCGCGAAGTAAATGAGACTTCGCTCAAAAAGAAACCAAATATAGTCTGTTAAAAAATCTGTCACAATAACTCTCATGACTGATGTATAGTACAAGAAGGTATACGTCTTTGGATTTTCATATCATATACATATGTAATGAATGACCTGAATTAGAAAATTATTATTAGATACCGTAGAGCAACAGATGCTAGTAATAACTAGAAGAGCTCTGAAGACAGACAATATGTTTTAACTCGTAGACATTTTACTTTTGGTTCTTTTCTCAATCAGATCAAATAGGAAAGGGTTTTCTTGAAGTAACGACAAGTTGTATACGCTATATAAGCTGCTATATAAGCAGCAGCTGTATAAGCTAAAAACATTGGAAAACGTTATCACTTAAGGCACTACTTCTCTATACTGCTTATTCGTAACTCTTTCACTCTCGTGAAATGAAACTACTAACTACTGGATTTTATCGCGTTTAATAAGACTTTTAAATTCCCGACGTTTCGAACCGTTTCCAGCATTCATGGTAACGGGACAGACTGAGTTGATTTACGTCTTAATCTCACAGTTAACTACCGTCAATTTTAAAATGAAACCGGGAGGGAATATAAAAACTAATTAGACGCGACAAAATCCGTAAATTAGTTTCATTTTACAATGTATAATATTCGCGTTAAATCAAGAAATCAATATCTTACATTATCTCTAACTCAAAGAGCAGATACTTCCCTTAAGAGCATTTGACTATAATATTGGTGCAAAGAAACAGTACTTGAAAAGCTCTGGTCATGTCGTTTTTAACCATAATTGCTATTCACCTGTAGCTAATAACCTTTATATAAAAACGTCTCGCGCCTCGTCTCTCACTCTCTCATAAAAAGTACAGTTTGAAGGAAACAAAAAGGTATTAACGTGGAATATGTCAAACACACAAAATTATAATGAATCTCCTCAACACAAAGCTTTGACTAATTTAAATCTTTGAATGTTCCATTATAAGTAGACGAATTTGTTTATCCTAAATCGTAACGTTTGATCAGTGCGATAATCTATTACTATACATAATTACGTAGATTTAAATAAAGTTAGAGATAAATGTTTAGCGATGTGATTGTCTAGTTTTTGTAAATGTGTGTGTACATTAGATAGATGAATACGAAGCGCTCATTGAAGATTATTGTTTTAAGCTGTTAAGATAAACTCAAAACCGACCTACCGTTTGAATCTATTTTGCCTCTTCTTGCCCCACGTCGACAGATTGAGGAACATAGCCAGTTATTGGCAATTCAACCACTCCTAATTTAATATTATTGATGTTGTATACATCACAACCGTTATAGGGATAATGTTTCCATTTCTTGTGAATTGTACATGCTTAGTATTAATACAACTTATCATTCATTAAGAATTTTAAATAATATTTATTGTATCCATATCCATTAGTGATCTTTACAATTCAGAAAAATCTAATATACCTACATAATATTTATGTTAGTCTTTTAGTTTTAGAATTGCTAATAGCTTAATTTGTAAGCAGCGTTGATTTTCAAATTTGCCTTTTCCAAAAAGGGAAGATCAACTATCGATAACGTGAATTGGCGACGCGGTTTTTCAAATGAATTTAAGGCATGCAGGCGACCAGCGACGCGTTCCAAGTGGTACTTCTCCACACAGAAAACTTTGTAGATTAAGTGGAATATTTATTCCACTTAATCTACAAAGATAGAAGATTATATCCGAAATTGTGATTAGATCTTTTTGAAAAATGTCCCACAAAATCTAAGTTCGATGAAAGTATAGCAAGCTGTGAAGAGTGGGACACACATTTAGTTATCATTGTCGTATTAGATTCACTATATATCAATAGGAATGGTCTAATATGTACATACGTGTTCGTAAAGTAGTTGAAATTTGTATCTAGGCCAAGCCAAACTGTGAATTGAATTTAAGGATTTTTGAATAATTGACGAATACATAACTAGGTAGATATGTTAGTCTCGGTGGGAAATGTAAAAAGCGGCGTGCATCGAAACTTTAAGTTTAAATATTCTTATTTATTATCTGTATATCGGTCTAAAAGTCACGCTCTTCTCGCCCTTGTCATATTGATAATTAATAAATTTCTGCGAATTGCCACAACCTCTGTCCCAATTATTATCTAACCTTTGGCCCCTTTTTAATTCCTGGCTTTTGTATTAGTCAATTAAAAATTTAATTTTTGGAAGTTCACTTATATATTATCTGTCATCATCTTCCAGTTCATCTTCTATTCCACTATCATCTTTTTGAGAACCATTTATTTAAAAACAATCATTTGTTCTTAACTCTAATAGAACCTCACTATTAAAAACACCGCACGTCAAACGTAACAAAAATCATGTCTATGATGCTAAAATGATAACGTAATCAGGGCAGTGCTTTAGCATTTCCTACCGCTTAGTTGATGTATTTAATTATTTCCACGAATATTTAACACTATCATAGATTTAGGAGATGGTTGTTACAAATAATATCGTATGATTATTTGTCATTGTCGAATATAAATGTTTATGGATATAATATGTTCATTTCGATGGAGTCATAACGATTATTAAAATTCTATAAAATACCGTTTTGCATTCTTATTTGTGACCACTTTTAAAAGCATAATTACCAGTGTTACGTTTCTAGTACCATTTACTTGCGATTTTACCCCTTCGAGGGAGATAGAAATAGCGGAGCGGGTACAAATGTTGCTTTCTTGTTCACATGGCACAGTAATAATCAAGCGTTGCAACTACGCAATTTATAAAAACAAGAGTTCGCACACGAAACATAGCCGGCTGCAAGAACAGTTTCGTGTCATAATGGACCGATGCTATCAAACTCGGCCGCAATCTGCCGTCGAATCTTTCGCACGCCAGCGAAACCGCTATAACGTCGCATCGGGAACATGTTTACTATTTTACCTGCTGCATGAATAGACCTGGACATAGAAGACCGACCTTAAACTAATATATGTTGTCTTTCGCTTTTCGGCAGTATGCGAGGGTATTAGAGGGCTCGATACGTGGGTTCGATTCCCACAGCGGCGACAATCTTTATGTACTTTTTCTACAAATTTCAATGTTCAATCTTAAGTGCAGAGATTAGCACTATAAAAATATTAGAGGGCTGTTAAAGGTCGGCCTTAAATAATATAATATGTTTAAATAAAGGATTGCTTACATATGCCTCGGATAATGTGTGGAAAGTATATATATAGGTTTGTGTTAATAATTTCTGGTAAGGAAGTGGTTGTAATTATAAGTAAAGTTGGACAACAGTCGTGGAGGCACGCAATTAGCGTTTTTTATAAACTGACAAGTTTATTTCAGCATTTAATTAATACATAGTTGGGTTTGGAATTTCGAATCATGTTACAATGCATATTGGAGCATTTATACAGTAATATTCGACTGCTATGCAGTATCCTGCCGTATGTATGTCACTGAACTCCTCCTAAAAGGCTTGACAGATTTTAAAGAAATTTGTGTGTCATTAGGTGGATTCGAGAATAGTTTAAATTCATAATTCGTTTTTTTTTATGTA